AATACAGTTATTGATTTTACAAAATTATAAAAATTCAAATATATATTAAATTATTTGATTTAATTTTTAAAAATATTTATAAAATTCCATGGGGGCCCATAATGCACATGGGCCCACCATCTGGCATGTGGGTGGGGGCTCACATGTGCCACATAGGGCTGGCACGCCCCACCCCTTTGGATTCTTTTTTAATTGCTTTGTGATAAAGTCATTTAAGTTTTGGTAATTTTGATTTGTAGCATGTGGTCAAATCTTTAAGGGATATGGTCAATTTGAGTATATAGTTAACATTGACCTTATCTTGTTTAAATATGGTAGTATATCTTAACTTGATAATATTTGACATATCTTTATGGAATATGTGAGATGGATCATGCAATTTTATAGAATGCATGATATTTATTTTATTTAAATATATTGATGGGAAAATGGTTTAAGGAAAGGGGGATAGTGGTTCATGCACCTTCCATAATGTTGATGGCTCATTTATGAAATGGATGACTCAGATCTCTCACCCCACAAGTCATCTTAATCAATGGTCTATATTCAATTTCAAGAAAGATGCAAACTATGTGAAACTCTAGATCTATATTTCACTATAAATAAAGGTGCTCTCCCCATCTCCACACACCTCTCTTTCCCATAAACTCTCTCTCTCTTTCCTAGGGGCCATGCCACTCTCTCCTCTCAAATTTTCTCTCTCTAAAAGTTTCACAGGGGGCACGCTCTAACCCCTAGGTCTGCAATTCTCTCTCTCTTGACCTAAAGATACTAACGATTTGGGAAATCAGGGTTAAAGCGTTAGTTAATTTTGAGATTAGGGTTTTGTAGGGATTTAAGGGTGCTTACCTAGTTTGGCCGAAATTAACTTTCCCGGTTCGAGATTGAAGCTAGACCGCTGATCCCATGCCATTAGATGTGGTAACTCGGTGTGGGGTGTAATAAGTCTGGTTGAGGTAATATCCGGCATCTTCTTTTTTACTTACTTGCTCTCTTTTATTTTTATATTCTCAAGCATAGTATTAGGTTGAATAAATGGCATCAAGTGGTTGAGTTTTATTTTATTGTTGTGCTGTTTTATTTTGAAATATTTATTAATTGTAATAAGACCTGTAAGTGATCTTTTTGCCAAAACAAAAAAGGGTGATTATTATCAGTTAAAAAAAAAAAAATTGTATTCCCTGACAAAATATCACCTAGTTCTTTCTTTCAATAAATACAAACAAAACCGTAAATGAGAAAAGAGTTTCAGGTAGGGTTTATAAGGTAAGATACCATTATGGCATTTCTAGTGCGATAAAAATACTTGAACTCCTTATGGTATATAAAATACTTTATAACATGAGTTAGTTTTTACGGTACTTATGTAATGATGCTTCACGGTAACACGATATCGTGAATGTTATTTTGATAAACAAAAACTCTCAAAATTAAAGAAAAAGGGTGTGGATGAAGTTTATAAAAATTGAAAATTATTTTTTAAATAGACAAAAATTAAGGTATATTTATGATAAATTTTTTTATAAATATTGTCCAGTTGTGTATCATCTCTTTTTCTCTCTCTAAAATTGAAATTATGGAAGAAGAAGAGACTGAAACTAAAAAGAAGAAGAAATTATAGCATACCTTCTCAAACCGGAAGAATGTGATTGATCTCCTCTCCTTTAAGTTGTCTCCCTCCTTATTTGATTTAGTTTAAGAGTGAGAATGTGAGAGTGACAAATAAAGGGTTGGGTTCTAGAGAGAGATCGTGAAAGTGGAAAAAATAGCTTGGGTGTCTAAAGAGATTGTAAAAAGGAATGAATAATTAATTGTACTTTTAGAGCTACAATGAGAGATAAATGCCTAAAATTTTGGTTTTAGATAACTAAGGAAAAAGAAACCATTTGGAAAAAGAAACCATTGGTAAAATTATGTGTAATATGAGAGAAAAACAGACAAACATATGATATTGTCTTTAAAGGAAGGACAAAACAATCAATTTATGCTTCTACAAAAAGTAAGAGAGCCAAAGTTAAAAATAAATTTTTAAGAGGCCCAATTTAAAAGCATCTTAAATGCTTTTCTTCTTAAAAGCCTTAATTAAAATGTAAGTGTTTTCAAAAAGGAAATTAAATTTTGACCATTTAAACACTTAAGACCTAACTATATGAAAAGTTAACGACCTTATTTTTCTGGCACATATAAAAATGCATATGAATCATGGCTATCAAGACCGGATCAGACTCGAAGTCTAAATAGTTACTGGCTGACCTACCGATCTATTTTAGAGTAAAAACTAGATTGGCAAAGAACCAAGCAAAATTACTATTTGACAGGCTGTTCTGTCGATCGAAGTGAACAATTTTTTTAATATATTTTATATTTATAATTTTTTATTAAAAAAATTGTTTTATGCAGGCTGGACCGTATTTCTACATATGCAGTAAAGCATCCATCGTATGTGTTCTATCTAAAAACAATCAAAACTAACGGTCCAAATGTTTTCTTACTAGAATAATTATTTGTGGTTTTTAAAATTTATTTATTTATTCATATTCATGATCTCTTTTTTAAATATTACATGTTCTTAAAAATTAAATCTTAAAATCTATCTCCAAAATAGATTTATTAAGAGACCCGCATTTCTACATATGCGGGCGTGATCGCATAGAAACCGGTTCCTTTTATTAATATTATTTTAATATTTTTAAAATTTACTGATCAAACTAATCCGATCAATGAACTAATCAATTTTGATTGAACAAGTACCCGCTCCAATTGGCTACCCATTCGATCTCATGACAATGGCATGTCAAGGAAGTCACGTAAATATGTGTCCAAGATCTTGCCCCAAGAGGGAGCACATAGGCGTTCGACAAATTGAACCGGACCCCGTAACCGGCCAAGGGTCAAGTCAGCGTGACTTAGAAACTGGTCGGTGCACCCGGCCTAGCCTGACAAATCCCAAGCGGGGCAAAAAGTGTTTTAAAAGTTAAAAAATACAAACTAAATCTCAAAAAATATAAAAAATATATTTAAAGCATACTTAAACAAAAACATATCCAAATGAAGTTGAAAACCAGTGGAAAATGTATTTTAAAAAACTGAGTATTTTAGAAATTATCTAAAAAAATATAACAATAAGTATTTATGAACAAACCCATTTCAAATTTTACTAAAACGGTTAAAAATTTAAAATCATTCAAATACACGTTACAAATAAATCCCTTATTTTTTGAGATTTTATATAATATTTTAATTTTTTTAATACAATCCAGCAATCCACTTGATCCCCAAAACCGACTAAAATCGGCTCCCCTAGGGGTCGGCCCCGGACCGGTCTATTTGTCGACGAATAGAGGGAGGCTCCCGCGCGGAGCGAGAGAGGACGCGCCGCCGCACCCAAAGACAAAGCTGTGTTCCCAACCGTGCATATCGAGAGAGAGAGAATCTCGCAAAGTGCAGCTTGTATTGGCAGAGTGGTTGTGTAGGGGATTGATATCAACGCGAAGAATTCCTCCTCTGCAACTTTCATGAGTCCATCACCTTTCCTACTGGTAAGCGATCCTAAATTTTCCTCTGCGTTTTGTGCCTCCTCAATTCATCGCATTTCGCCATCGCTACAAATAAAAATGTAAAATCTCTCACTCTCTCTCTGTCTCTCTCTGATGAAAGGACCTTTCTCGCGGTACTGGATTCCTTCACTGTGTTTGTTGCTTGCCAAATCTGAACCCCCCCCCCCCCCCCCCTCTCTCTCTCTCTCTTATTTCTTATCAGGGATGAACTTCTTCAGAGAGTTGTTTGAGTCTTTGGGTGCTCTCTCATCAAGCTTGTCTTCCACGGACGAACCCTCTTCAACCGTTTCCAATCAAGGTCATCACAGCATGGAAAGCGTTGTGCCCTCTGTTTCAAAGCAGAAAATCGCACAAAAGCTCAAGGGATACTTTGAATTGGCGAAGGAGGAGATAGCAAAAGCTTTTAGGGCAGAAGAATGGGGTTTGACTGAAGATGCAGTGATTCACTATAAAAATGCTCAAAGCATCTTGCTCGAAGCCAAGACCATCAAGAACAGTGCCTCAGATTCATCATCAAGGTTCAAGCTTTGTTTCTTCCTTTATCAAGACATTTTCATGCCCATTTTTCTATTTTTGTTTGAAATATTGCTTTTATGTCCTTTGGGGCTAATTTTTTTCTTTTCTTTCTCATAATTTGTCCTTCTTTTTAATCCATTTGAGAAAGGAATGATATTTCCTCATGGAGAATCATATTTCCTCATGGAGAATCTGAATTTTGGCTTTGATTAAAACCCATTAGGAAGTGGATGCATTGCAGTTGTTTATGCGAATTTGAGTTAAACATGAAGAGTCATTTGTTGCCACTGAATTTTGTGGTTTCCTTGTTTTATTATGCCGAGTTTTTTGGATGGTTATTGAGTGGTAAACCTTTTGAAGTGATTTAGAGTTCCAATTTGCAGTCACTGCCATATATCATTATTGATGGGATACAATTTAAACTTTAACTTGCCAATTTTATTCGATAAAACTACATGTCTGCTGCCACAAAGGATTGGAAAATTCTAGTGAGTTATATTAAGTCAAGTGGTGTACTTCCTAGGAGACGTGTACCAAGACCATCGAGTGAAATTTTCCTAGAGCGATCGGAGTAAGTTCCTTTGTCACAGCACGCGCACCGGTTGTGACACAAGGCACTGGGCTAGCCAACAATTCTCAAAATGCCCAAACCACTGGGCTAGCCAACAATTCTCAAAATGCCCAAACCACTGGGCTAGCCAACAATTCTCGAAATGCCCAAAACCGTCCGTTGTACTTTCATGTGCCTCCACCCTAAGAATAGGGTCACCCCCTACGGCAGGCCAAAATCACTGAAAGTATATATAGAGGGGAGCAGTCTTGAGTGCCAGGCACGGGCCAGTAGGGTAAATATCTTGGCAGAAATTCTTGTCAGCTGCCCCAATTTCCACCAGAGTACCGATTATGAAGTTGCTTATGTGACACGGTACAAAGCTGTCTAGTTTCATTTACTTTACCTTTTCATTCTTTTGAATTGGAAAGCTTAATTAAGAAATTAACAAAACCAAAATCACCTAAAGTAGAATACACATTATCCTTACCTTATACCCATTGTTTGTTCCATTGTCTATGTAATGAATACGGTGGGCACTGACTGTGATGCTATGTGGGGCTTGTGGCAACTTGCCCATGTGGGCACCTAACATCTCTATAATCTTTTTCCTGTTGATTTTGGCTCCTCGTTAATATTCCTTTTGATAGAATATTCCTTTTTGGACTGCTTACTCTTGAAGTACTGCTAGAAGCCTCATCCAATCCCAAGAGTGTAATTTCCATGTAACAACAACTTATCTGTTGCCTTTTTTGTTCACAAAAAATAGGAATTGAGACAGTTTTCCTTGTCTTTAGATTAACAATTTGTTGGCATTGAAGATTTTTTTGAAAATTGTTGAATTCTTGGTAATATTTAACCCTTTTCCATCCAAATGATCAAAGCGACTTGTTTTTTCGTTAAGGAGAAACTTTGCAATTGGCATGGAATTTCAAATGCTTAATTTATTCTGTGTACAATCTCTTCTTGAAAGCGTAAAACCTTGATGTCTGATCTGTGAGGTTTAAAACAAGTGATATGAGAAAAATTCAAAATTTGATTCGATTTAGGGGCAGGTTGAGAGAGATTACTATTCTCTTAAAATTAAGAAAGGTGTCCTTGTTCCTTATTTTATATATGTATGTATTGTTCCATAGTGATACAGAACAGGTGAAGCACTATCATAAGAAGATACTGAAATGGGAAGGCAATGTTTCAGAGCGTTTGAGAGTTCTGAGTCAAAGACAAGGTATAAAGGATTCTCTTTCGTTCTTAAGATCATAGTCATAAAACCTAAATATTTTGCTTGCTATGCTAATGCAATGACGTGCCTTTTCCTCTTCTTTATGTTAATGATCCTCCTTTTCTTTGTTTCATGGAATGGTTATCTTTCCAGGTGGTTCATCACTAAAAAAGGTATAGTTAGATTCCTCTGAAAATGCAAATACCAATTTAATTTCACTTACATAAGCGTTGGGTTTATTATTGCACTGTTTTTCTAATGCAGACTACCTCAAGTCATTTGCCATCTGCAGCAGTTGTAACGGCACAATCTGGGCCCAACAAAGTCACATTACGAACAAAATGTTTTACCAAAGAAACCGGCAGTAGCAGATACTATTGGCAGCTCAAAAACTAAACAAGAGACTTTAAATGGTCATGATGCCAAGTTGGTTGAAATTATAAACGATGTGATTGTGGACCGTAGTCCTTCCGTTAAATGGGAAGATGTTGGTAAGAAACAAATGCATATGTAGTGAATTTTTAGGTAAAAAGTTGCAGGAATTGGTTCATTTTCAATTCCCTTTTTTCAGCTGGTCTTGTTAGTGCAAAGCAAGCATTGTTGGAAATGGTTATTTTACCCACTAAAAGAAGAGACCTGTTTACTGGTCTACGAAGGCCTGCTAGAGGTAGTTTCTGAGAGGCCGAGATGATTGTCCTTAATCTTGATACTTTTCTCTTTGTGTTTGGCTTTTTTATGGCATATTTTCTTTTTTCTCTTTCAGGGCTGCTTCTCTTTGGTCCACCTGGAAATGGGAAGACCATGCTTGCCAAAGCTGTTGCTTCTGAGTCAGAAGCAACATTTTTTAATGTTTCTGCATCTACATTAACATCAAAATGGGTATGTTTTTGAGTTGTCTCCATAGTTCTTGTCTTTCTTATATATGTTCAAGAAAAGCATTACAGATGCTTCTAATGCCGACACAGGTGGGAGAGGCTGAGAAGCTCATGAGAACTCTTTTTGCTGTTGCCATAGCGAGACAGCCTTCAGTGATTTTCATTGATGAAGTATGATCTTTATTTCGTAAACTTCTCTTTATTCCTGCATTTAACTTATCATTCATATTCATGATTTGTTTCTAAGTGATGGAATTAGTTTGTCTTTCGTAATGGTGTAATCATCTCTATATTTTGTTAAGCATGATATTTTTGCATGATGAATAACATTTATGGTATTGACATTTCACACCATTGGATCTATTTTGTTGACATTTTGTGCCAATTTGCTCCAGCTTCCTTGCATTTCTTAGGCATGGAGGAAGCGATCAGATGCCAAGAGCTATGATGGTACTAGTGCCATGAGTTGCAGTTTCATTCATAATTAAAGGAAATTAGTTTGTTAAAGATTCATCGTATTAGGTGCAGCAATTTAAGTTGTGTTAATCTTTCAGTCTCTTGCTGTAGTATATACTTATGGGAGAGCATGCTTTTAAAAATCGTCAATTTGGATTGGAATCAATCGATCTGGATTAGGATCGTTGGATAATCTTGGTAACCTGGAATTGTCCAATTCCCACCATTTTTAATTTATTTTTAATATTATTTTGTTTCGTTGTTGTTTGACCCTAGAGACTCAGTCATTGTGGATTGGAATTGCCAATCCGGATCGGCTGCGTGGGTGACCGAGTTGGCCACCTGATCCAGGTTTTAACTTTTAAAACACTGTTGGAAACTTAGGTACTTCATACAAAACTCCAAGGGCATAATATGAACTTGTAATGTATATAATTATGGAGTTTTGAAAGCATGTGAAATGCTTTCTACAGTATTTCCTAAAACTTATTTATAAGATTTTAGGTTCTCTGTTGGGTATGGGAGCAAAATTTAATTTTTATTGTGGCATTAGAACGAAAATTAGTTCCAATAGGTGAAGTAACAGGCTTAAACTCATCTTACCTATTTCCTTGTACAAAGCCATGCATTTTGTTGTGGCATAGAGAGATGTGATGTTTGTGAATGATTCCCCTATCCTGCATACTAGCATATCCTTCACAAATTCAAGAATAATGAGCTTCAAACCTTAAGTTTGGCACACGTGGTGTGGTATGCTCTTTTTTTTTTTTTTTCTAGATCAATCTGTGTAACTAGCAGTTTAAAAATCTGCTTAAATATTAAAGAGACATGGTCTTTGGACTTCTTTTTTGACCAAGACTTAGTCTTTGGACTTCATCAAGTATATCCATCTACAAGAGGACAATCTTTAGCGAAACTAACATAACTCGTGCTGATCGTTGACCGATTGGGTGTAGGCTCTCAGGTATCTAGTGTACTAGAGCAAATCGTAGATAGTGGGTTTGAAATCCTTAAGCTTCACGTCACAATCTTTCTTTGGACAAGGATGAAGGTGGCATTTACTCGTAATGTGATCCTCGCTTGGCTATGGGGTTCTTCAAAGATTTTGAAGGATCAGTTTTGGTCAAATGTTGGAATACTTGAAAAAGATATTGGGAAAAACTTGCTGGGAAAAGAAACAGTTCTTGACAATTTAACTCCAATTGTCTATGGCATTGAATAAATGAACAACATTGCCATAACTACAGCTGCTACTATTATCCCACTACGAATGTTTTTCTCTGCATCATTTATAATAGGGCCTCCACTTGCACTGGTATTTCCAATAGTGCCTAGATTGTCCATTGATTTACTTAGTTCACACTTGTGCTGTAATTCCTCATTAGACAACATCAAAGTGAGCCACCACTTCTCCATAAAGCCCTTCTACCTCCTGTTTTGAATACAATAAATGAGTAGTCATTTGATGTATCGACATTTTGCTGTTTTCATTCATTTCCTATTGTAATCAGAATGAGTATATATATTCAATTGCTAGGATCATTAAGTCATGAGTAGTGAGAATGAATGATTCTCTTCTATATGTGAGAATCCGGAGCATCACTTGTCATATATGATGATAGAACCCTTTTTGCAATGAAAATGGAATTTGCCATGCTGTGGACAAATTCTCATCCAAAAGATAATATTTCAAGAAGTTCCATTATTGCTTCAAGTAATTACTAGGTTAGTTGTTAGTTATTGGTTTTCTATAAGGTGGTTTTGTTTCCTAATGTTATCTTGATATTTCTGTATCAGAGTTTCAATGTGATTTTAGTTGTGACTTGCAGATTGATAGTATTATGTCAACGAGGTTGGCTAATGAGCATGATGCAAGCAGAAGGTTGAAATCTGAATTTTTAGTCCAGTTTGATGGGGTGACCTCTAATCCAAATGATTTGGTAATTGTCATAGGTAAGCTATTTAACTTGGCTTACTAACTTCGAGAGAGAGAGAGAGAGAGAGAGAGAGTTATTTTTATATTATTTAGTTGTGTTAGTTCGTAGAGTATTCTTTCTTTACTTACTTACGTTTTACTTGGTGGTGTAGGTTAGGTTTGGTTTAGTTATTAGTT